AGGGCGTGAATTGAAGGAGAGGCATTTACTTTGGTGACGGAGAATCCCGGAATCCTTCACATCGAAAGAATTTAGACTGACGTCTGCATCCGGTTTCACCTTATTCCCGTGTTCAAAGACAGGCTATTAACAACTGAAGCGACACCACCGTGAACTATCTGGTAACGTTTCGTGTCTGAGTTTTCCATACAAAATCCGTGTTTAGGTGTCGGAAATGACACAATGGTTCTCATTGCATACGAGACAGTGGCTCGTCCCATTATCACTGTAACATATGTTCTAGACCAGAGTTACACCGTTTATTCCTGAAAGCAATTGATGGTCAACAAGTGTATACGGCCCTGACTCTGGTTGTCAGACCGAACGTAACTCCAGATCCAGTTGAAGCTGCCGAGGAGACGAAGTACGGTTCATAAGTCTCATGCTATCCGACTGGCGCGATTGGCTTGTGGGTGCTTTCTTGTAGTATCAAATGTGTTGTGATGGCTGGTGCGGGGGGTGTATCAAAGTAGAGCGCCGTGGACGCCGCTCAAAAGAAGAGACGAGTAGTGTAATATTTTGTTTTTGCGACAATATGGCGTTTGGTGATCCCTTTAGGATTTGTATGACCTTTGTATGTAATGCCTTGTTTATGTGACTACCTGACGTTTGGCGGTCACCTTAGAATTTGTCTGGTCTCTGTACACGTGGGCTGGCCTTCGGATCAAGGCTAGGCCCATTTGTCCTCTATTTTTCAGCTGCATTTACTGACTTTTATATCGGCTAGGAAATCTCGGGGCGCTACAGTCAAAAACAGAACACATCAAATTCACCACTAGTTACATGGTTGTCTAGTAATGCACAAGTGTGAATGTTTAAGTTAAAGTCGAATCAAAACTAAGCAAAGTGTCAGCATCCTTTTTGTTAAAAGCATTTTTATGTGTAAAAAGATTGCAATAGAATGTGTAAACGTTCTATGGCTCTTGTAGCTTTATTGAACTGTCACCGCCTAAGTAACTTATTGGTGGTCACAAGGTGGATAAGCCTTGATCTCATCTAAGGAATCACTGAGCCTGTAGTGCTTTAGGCCCATGCGATCATCTTGTTGGGATGATAACTTCGGAGCAGGTGGGCATTGTGGTCATTTCTAAGTGGGTATTTCAATTTAGTTTATGAGAGTTCAATGTATATGATTGTGTTTTTTGGACTTAATTAAAGCTTGGTTTAGTTGCCGTAAATTTCGTATGCGGTGAGATGTGATGCCTTTCTGGTGCTTAAGTTGGCAGTGTTTTCTGGTTTCGTTTCGACTACTAATCGAATCGAACCTTTTCTATGACTTTACTTATCGAGGTCTTGCAATCATTTGTCAGAATGAATCGGGATGTATTTTGTTGGCCGGTACATTTTATGGTGGCAGTGAATGCTGGTCCTACCTGGTCTGCACTTTTTATTGTGGGTTTCTTTTGGAGATGAAGCTCTACTTTACGAAGCATGTTATCGCCATTAGTGTTGAACACCTCGGCCTATACGTCACTCCGGATCATGCTGCTAGGGCTAGAATGGGAATCGATTTAGTAGGCTGCTAACCTTTTCCATTTTGGGTGGAGATGGCATAAAAGCATGCAGGTACTTATTACATTGAGGTTGGACGCTTGGAGCAGATTATAATTATTTAAACCACCTTTCTCCCTTTTTGGCATGGCATATTTGTTCAGCACTGTTTCCTAACAGCGTAAAAATCTCTTATTCGTCGCACTACTCTAGTCTTACGCTCAATTAGGCTATGATGGTGTGGGTATTCCTGAGTATTTAAGGAGCTTCAGTCTCTTCTTTGTTATGATGCAGCGTCCTACCTGGAAAATCTCCATATTCACAGGGGGTTTATTTTCGCTTAATCGCCAAGACGGTGTTTTTAAACTGGATCAAAACACTGATCTTTTTGGTATGGCTCTCTTTGCATACGCTAGTTAGTTTTAGACGGTTTCTTTGCCCGAATATGGTAGGAATCATAGATTTAGATTTATTTATGCAAACGCTTAACCATTTGAGTCGAACGGCATTTCGAGACGTCTTAGTTGCCCTATATGTAGCGTATCATTCGTGCAGATTCTACCAATACTTTGTTCTTGTATGATACACTGGTACCTTTTGTCCCACTTTTACTTCGATATGAGTTCATGTTGCGTTATCAAGGCCTTATTCAATGATTAGTTTCTGCCCTCCGTCACCTGTGTTTTGTGATTAATAAAGCCTTACCATTTGCCTTTATGCACTTGAATTTTACACTTCGCTCATTATTTCTTCCATCTTGTTATTTCTTGAAGGAATACACTTAACTTTGTGCTTAAATGGACGGGTGCCATTCCTTCGTGTGCTCTTGCAATGATGAAACAATCCATATTCCTGAGACCCATCATTTCCCAAGTTTTGGCCTGACTTTCATTGCCAACTGTGCGATGATAAAGTCAGTGATGAAGCTTGATTTGCATCGACATCTTGCTATGCATCATTAATGCCAGTTCTGTTGTCCCACTTTGTCTGAGGCCTTTATTTATGAACTGTTTTGTTTTTTCTATTGTCATCTGCTTTGTAAGTCACTGAAAACCCAACTTATATTTCCATCTGTTGTATTTTTTCACCATTGGCAGCAAAAGACTCGTGTTTTCCTTTAACTTTCCACCTTGCTTGGCAAAGGCTGAAAGTCGGATCTTTGTTTTTGCGTAATTCAAAATTTCACGTTCGATTGCTACAATGTCCTTGTATAATTCAACCTCGGAGTTTATCCAACTAAGTGTGGGGTTTTTCCGACATTGCATTGAAAGGCAGGCAATGTGGAAGTTCAAAATCTACTGTTTTTATCTGAGATTAATTCTCTCAGGCACTAACATCCCTTTCTCAACACTAGCACCGATGTTCTGTGGATTTTTGCCTCATCATTTGTGATTTTTAATGGTCCTTCACGTTTCTATTACTTTGCAGCAAAGTTCGATTCTCGGAGCGGCCTTTTTTTAGTTGACGTAGTTGATTTGCGTATTTTGCGGTTACTCAGCCTTGCTCATGATCTTGTCCCACTTTTTTGTCTAGAACGTCCGATCAAAAATCCAATATCTGTTTAAATGGCTAAAGAACTACTCCTTCCAGCCAAGGCGAGAGATACGAGAGGGCTCAAAACTCATGTATGACGTGCAGGTGGTGGAGGGTATAATAAAGATCTTTGAAGACTTCGCCTCTCCTGAAGAGATTCACGTCATCTGTCGCACCTTCTACGATGCTTACCTCTCAGGAGACAAGAAATCCAAGCTCTTTGTTACCCTTCTTCTTCCCACCGTACTCCTCACTTACTTTGTACGTCTCCACACTGATGCAGCGATAACGTCGGCAGGGTCTACAACTGTTAAACCGTTGTCTCCTAGTCAGTCCCGCCGTAACTCGCAAACAACTTTCAGCCTTGGTGATGAGTCCTCCAGCAGTCCATTGGATTCACTTGCCTTTCTCCTCTCCGAGTTTTGCCAGCTGGCTCCTGCCGTAATTAGATGTCCTGAAAACTGCGGCAGCAGTGCTGCATACTTACCCGACTACAGAGTCGCCTCAGTCTATCATGCACCCGCCTTCAACATTCCCGCAAAGTCCCTGACTCCCAAACCTATCACCTCGCGCAATAGTTCTTCTACTCTGAGGCTCAATCACGCTTCACTTTCCACTCTACCCTCTCCCAATTTCTCCAACTTTGATCCTGCATGCATAGTCCGCATCTACGCAGATGCTCTTACGCGTCAATTTGTGGAAGGCACAGAGGAACAGCAGGGTCTCGTAATCATATCTATCCGTACTTTCTGCGATCTTGTGAAGCGCCTCACCGCCTTGGACACGCCTCGCATTCTACTCCGCAGCCAGCACCATCACTCGGTTCTCCTCATTGACCTCAGTATTGCCATTGATAAACTCCTTTTCATGCTCTCCTTCGAGCTTTCCTTACCCACAGCCCCGGATACGGGTTGTGCATCTCCTCCTGACGATGTGAAGTCGTTGCGGAATCGGCTATTTGAGGAACTTCTTCCGAGGCTGGAGCGCTATGCTAGCTATCACTGCTTTGCTTCGGTTTTGTTGGTTGTTGGCGCGATCCGAAACGCCTGGCGCCTGTGCCTTCATCCATCCACACCTGTTAGCCCCTCTGGGATTGTCCCTATCTACCGCAGAGTACGCCTAACTTCGGATGAAGCAATGAATCGCTCAGATGCCTCTCCAGACGAAGCAATGGATAGCATGCTGTGTCCTGCATCGCCTTCCACCCACAAACTCTCTGTCTTTACCAACGCTAACTTTCGAGCAGAGCCAGTTGCGGAAGACATTCCCATCAATGGTGAGCAGGAGACAGCGAAAATGGGAACAGATCGTTGGAAGAAGCAGCATCAGCACCACAACCTCACTATCGGCTCTCATAATCACATTCGTCATTACCACCACTACTACCAGCAACAACAGCAGTACTTCGACGAAGGGCTGACTAGGAGTTCAGAAAACCTCCACTCCACCTTGTCATCCTCTTCATTGAATTTGGACAGAGCTGGTCAACATCATAGGCGATTTTGGAGTAAACAAAGGCGAGAGAAGAGTTAAAATTACCTTTCCTTTGTCCTTATCTGTTCTCTTACTTTTGACGTCTTGATAATGTCTTTCAGCAGCAGGAATTTTGATGTCGTTAATGACTTGGCTATTGTTAGCATCGTGATACTCAGTGATTATCCGACTTCTGTACTTGACTTTGAGAGTATTTTGTAAAATATAGCTAATTAGAATATTCTTCGAAAGTTTCGGCTTCTTCCATATTGGAGGAAAACTGGGGTTTTGCAATGGCAACAGCTGGGTTCGTAAAGCTATAATAATCTACAAGCAAGGTAAATTTGTCTGTTTCATAACAGAAGGGATCTTGGTATTCTAGAATGATAATTCTCATTCGCAGATGTTAGACTTGTGTTTGAAATTCGAAGGAAGTCAGTATCTTCATAGCTTTCAGCGACTTTTCGTTCACGGGTTTGTTGCAAAGGCTCCGTCACCACCCGCTTTCCGCTTCGGGGCCAAGACAGTTGGATGCAATGGAGACAGCTTGTTTTTCTAGCGCACGACTGCATGAGTCTGTAAGGTCTTTGTCAAATAATTTTTCGATGCAGTGATGACTTTAGCTTTTCACTCCAAAACCAGATTTATTTGTTTTATTTTTCATTAGCATGACCCAGTGCTTTCCTAGCACAACCTGTTCATTGAGTTTAAGACATGACAAATGCTTGGGATAATGTCCCACTTGTAAGTGTCTAAATTAAAGGCCACTGAATTTGCATTAGCCCACAAACGATGAGGCGGAATCGCGGGAGAATCCGAATGCTCGATACCTCTCGCCATTGCTATGCAAAGGAAGTGCTGTCGGTTCCCTTACTGAAAGCCTATTTGACTAATGTTTTGTAGGGGAAAGACCAAAAGTTACTAACCATTCAGCGAATCCAAACTTTTTTCAAAAAATGACGTTGAAGGAGCTGGTGAGCACGATGAATGACATTTGCATTTGCAATACGACTAGTTAAGAGGACTGTAATAATTCAATCTCATCGATGCTTCCATCAGCCTCGGAGCAGGTCTGTCGCATTGTGACTATTCAATGCATTGCTTTGAAGATTCATTAATACTGCATGCGAAGGCAGCCGTTCAGTGCTTACCACCGTGACGACACCACACTTAGTGGTAGGAGCCAAGCGAACCACTTCACACGCTTGTCAATGCGCATGTCGTGTGGACCGATTCCGATCGACGCAGGCACAGTTTATCATTTCATAATACGGTCAGGCAGCATTGGCAGCGCGTGAATATTTACTTTGAAGCATCCACGAATATCAAGGACGTTGAATACAGTAGGTTGTAGTGGTGGGAAGCTCAGCATCTCACCCACCCGGTAGCAGTAGAGCAATTCAGCAGTTTGAATGTGAATGTCTCAATGGTGATAGTTTCTGTAAGTATTCAGATTGAGTATTGAATGACTGTTACTTAAGAAGGTCTTTGCATTCTGACTGTCGAAATGG